ATACCAGTATTCGTTTACTGATTCGACGTATGGTTGCCACATATAATGAGACCTTCGAGCATATAGATATTTTCACGTGTTCAATGGAAAAGTGGTCTTGTATACAAGACACTTTTCAAATAATAATTTGTCACCTCAGTCACATTATAATACCATTGCTGACCATACTTTGATACTTATATAATACGTTCTGTACAGCTGCAGGTCTCCTAGCGTCTTAATTATCTATCTCAAGAGGTAATCTGTTAACAGCATTGTGGGCTGCATTATTGCGTATATTAATGTTACTGTACTATCTGTATGTAATATATAATGTAGCTGTTAGCTGTTCCACTTTGAATAAAATAAAAAAATGGGTATTATAGTAAGCTTTATGTCAATCGTTCTACTGTTGCAGCCTGTGGGTTAGCTATACCCAGCGAGCGGGAAGAGATCTACGTGTCCAATACAGCAATGCAACAACTTTCTCATTTATAAGTAGTTTGGGAAGGTCTAATTTATCTGCATGTTTATCAGACCATAATATCCATAGCTGAACATGGTTATCTCATGCTGCAGACATCTTAATTGCCACACTTGATGATCGCAGGTATCAGATGTCTCACAACTTTCCATCGCCGGTCGAGATATTGTGCGTCTGGCATAAAAGAAATGGTTATATCGCCATTAATTTGACGGCTTGGCAGCAAACTGACTAATCGTTTGGTTGAGACTTTACGGGGATAGGGCTACATGTCACATATATTTTTATTGCGTATAAATTTCTTTTTGGGATTTGACGTTCATTTTTGTGCAATGTATGTATGTATGTCGCCTCCACAATACAGGAGATGGGTAACGTTTTCAATAGCAAAAAAAATCATTATTATTATTTGTTATTACTAACTTACACTTGACACTTCAATGGATTAAGTAAAAAAATACTTCGAATTTAATCACACCACATTCAAGTTTTGAATCTTACGCCTACCTTAGGTATATTATAACGACGTCAAATTTCAGTCATCTTAGTGTATGAGATTATTATCTCCAAAAAACGTGACGCATAATTACCCAGTTGATTCCTTAAATCATTGCAAATATTGTAATAGCAGAGTAATTAATATTATTTAACAATTAATAAATAAATAATTCCAGTAATTATAATTAACAGTAAGTAATAATTTTCTCGAACATCAAGGAATACTAGTATTTTCGTATAACGCAGAAAATAATAAAATTCACACAATATTTTTATGAATATGGTTTAGATTTATACAAATATGTCACGACACTTATTTATAATATGTACAATTGGTTTCAAAACGTTGAAAGATGGAAGGCTTTGTTAGCCTTTGACATTTGTCAGAGCACAACTTTCCTGCAATTCATTGCCTAAAAACGTATTAAATTAAACAATGGTAAACACAAAAAAACGTACTTTTTGTTGTCAAGCAGAGCATGCATAAAGAAAATTCAATGCCATAAAAGCCCTCGAAACCATTGTTGTCGTCGACGGTTAATTAAAATTCCCAGCACGTGAAAGGAAACAGTAGAAAATGTGAAAAATAGGCTTTAGTCCCATTGTTAGATTGCTCTGGGCTGTGTCTGCGTTTAGCATGTCGAACGAAACATAACACTTTTTTAGCTAATTTTAGTTGTTTTTATGAAATTTATGCAATATTTAATAATGGAAATTACTGCTACGTTTTAATTATCGTCAAATATATCTAATAAATATAAATAATAGAGGTAATAAGCCACCCTGCGGGGCACCAATGCTTGTATAGCATTCAGAAGATAATGATTTATTGATCGGACATTACCGAATTGTCGGCATCCAAAGATATATTTTCGAAACCAATCAATCACTGTTTAAGATATGTTAAGAGACCTGAGTATTCTAAATAAAATTAAAAATAATTAGCCTTATAAGATTAGAAAGAAAGCGTTAATAAAGTCAAGAAACTACAGCATTGTAAGTCATCCGATTTCCATACTTGTTCTGATATCGTAAAGTAAATATACATGATTTCTTTATGGCTAAAGTAATTTTACAGTTTACATATCTCCTACTAGGCATAAGCCTCCTGGGTCAAGCAGCTCTGTTTTTCTGCTTCAAAGTCCTCATTCGGATAGATTTTCAATCGGTTAGATTGTAATTGATTGGTCTTTAGTGCATGTTCGTTCACAATCTAAGGGCAAGACACGAACTGATTAAGTAATATCTATTATTTATATGACATATTTTAAATTCAATTATCAATCTACAATTCCCAGCCAGTATACAATCATGTACAGGGGCCCATACAGCTGTAGACTCGACGGACAACTAGGACGGAGCCCAAGTTGCCTTATGGAAAATGTTCTATTCTACTCCTTAATGGGAAGGCTAGTCAAATAAAGAGTACTTACCTGTATCTGAGGCGACGACTGTCTCAAGGTTCGGTCAGGACGGAGGTGTGTATGTGCATGCGTAGTGGTGTTTTTAGTGGTGTGGATTTTAGTTGACCTGACTGGACCGTTGAAGTTGGCAGCTACCCGGACTCCGGCACCGCTCCAAATTATGGTAATCTCCAGCGGCGTCACCCACGGTAAATTTCTTTCTTCTTCACTATGTCAGTCTATTAACTTTATTGTACATTTAACTAACTTCAAAACGCAACTAAATCCCGTTACTTATAATCAAAAACGTAACACACAGCACGAATACCGAATGTTCGGATCAAAGGTCACCTCCGTTTTGCGTGGCAATAAATTATTTCTAGAACCTAACACGACCTTCTCTAGTGTCACAAAGTTCAGCGTTCAACCGACAACGGAAAATATCTCCGAACTATATCAAATGCCGCACGAGCAAATTAATATTGTCAAATGCACTTATATACGCTATCAAATTAGAATAACCAAATTCGCGGTAAATAAGGCGCGCACAACACACAAATTCAGACGTTGATCGCAATCAATGTTAACTTCCTAACCCGGTGTCTAATTCTAGACTACAATTACTCGTCGTTGCACAATTTGCTAACAAAACCGACTCTAAAAAATGGAGGTTATCCCCAGCGACCTCACGACGTGCTATCGACAGCACTACTTTCAAGCAACTCCGTTGCACTCACGTTCTGCGCTCGCGCCCTCTGCCAAAACCCGCCCGAACGTCAAAACCGGTATGGTGCCGAGCCAAGCGCCCTCTGGCGTCAAATCTTGAAACCAGCGTTTGGGCGCGAACAATTATAATAGACGGAATATATTATAAACTAAGTATTGATCTAAGTGTCAATACTTAGTTTGAAATACTTACCTCTGTTTAAGCATAGTGCGCGCACAGAGGAGCCTGATATTTTGCATCATCATTTCATCATCATTACAGCCTTTCACAAGTCCACTGTTGAACATAGGCCTCCCCCAAGTTATGCCACAAAGCACGGCCCTGAGTCACCTACATCCATCGACTTCCTCCATGTCTTACCAGGTCGTCACTCCATGTAGTGGGGGGTAGCCCAACACTTCGCTTACTGGTACAAGGCTGCCACTGAAAACCTTTTTTTCCCATCGGTTGTCGGTTCTTCAAGCTATATGGCCGGCCCATTGCCATTTAAGCCAATTAATCTATTGGGCTATGTCGGTCACTCTGGTTCTACTGCTGATATCCTTAAGTTTATTACGCAAAGAATACCCAAGCGTAGCCCTCTCCATAGCACTTGAAGCTTGAGCTTCCTCATACGGCCAATAGTGAACGATCACGTCTCGGATACAAAAGTCATCACTGGCAATACGCACTGGTTGTACAAGAGATATACCTGACGAGAAGATGTGTCGTGATTTCCCGAAAGCTGCTCATCCGAGTTGAATCCGTCGATTGACTTCTCGGTCGAAATCGGACTTACCTAGTCGAACAACTTGTCCCAGGTAAACATACTCGTCAACAACTTTGAGCTTGGTGCTCCCAGCAACTACCGGCATAGGTTTGACATGGGCGTTATACGTGATCTTTGTTCCATGTTCATCTTAAGACCTATCCTTTGGGAGACACTATTAAGGTCATTAAGCATAGTGCTTAGGTCCGATTTCTGTGCGATTCTGCTATAAGAAATATATTGTCAGCAAATCGAAGATATGTAACGATTGATGTACTCGCCATTGATATTAATACCGTATCCTTTCCAGTCTAGTAGCTTGAAAACGTCTTCCAATGCAGCGGTGAAGAGTTTCGGGGATATTACGTCACCCTGTCTTAAACATTTCTGAAGTTGAATAGGTTTCGTACTCTGGTTCTGTACTCGGATAGCCATCGTAGCCCTACTGTACAGATACTTCAGCACTTCGATATACCCACAGTTAACTTGGCACTTCTGATGGGACTGCAGCAATGCTCAAATGTCGACAGAATCAAAAGCTTTCTCATAGTCCAAATACGCTAGCCAAAGTGGCAGATTATACTCTACAGTCTTCTGTACGATTTGCTAAAAGGGTATGTTTGTGGTCTGTGGTACTAAAGAGCAATTCTGCTCCACGCCTTCGGAGTAGTCCCACCATGGAAGACGGAATTAAAGAGCTTCTGAAGGACTTCAATTACCGGTTTTGCACCCGTATTCAGAAGTTCCGCTGTAATTCCACCCTCGTCCGGGACTTGCCGTTTTTAAGGTGCTAGAGAGCCATTCTAATCTCGCTCAGACTGACGTGCGGGATTTCATCGGAACAGTAACGGATAAGACTTGCTCTTTGATTGGTACTCACACTTGCGTGTGGCTCCAACGATGACGTGTACAGCTGCCCGTAGAACCTCTCTATCTCACTCAAAATCTAAGGTGTCCCGGAAATGATGCTGCCAAACTCAGTCTTCAGCTTTGACAGTTGGCTCTTTTTGGTAGACAGATCTCTGGCAAAGATTTTGGAGCCTTGGTGCCACTCGATCGCTTCTCCAATACAAGCTGTATTGAAGTTGCGTAAGTCCGCCGCATGCATTTGGAGATCAGTTGCGTGTATGTTGTCAAATCTGTTGAAGACTGCAGCTTTATTTACCGTCTAACAGCCATAAGATTAAGAGTGTGATCGGAGAGTTTTTTTGTTCGTCTGCGGCGGGTCTTACAGAACTTAGCTCCGACCGCATGGACAGTTTCCATGAGCTTGTCATACATATCGTCCACTGCATTGCAATCTTCTAGGTACTGAAAACGGTTTTTTTCAATTTGAGCTGAAAGGTTTCGGGACTTTGGATTAGAGCACGAGGGGAGCGTTGACTTCATTAGACGAGACCACTCAAACTTAACTTATAGGTTCAGTGTGCCTCTAACCATTAGGTGATCGCTACCAGTTTTCACCCCTTCGATCACTGAACAGATGACGTCTAGTCGCCGTAATAAAGTCTATCTCATTTTCTGTTGGTTTGGCTTATATCGGAAATTAGCAACAATGAGTTTATCGATCAACGCTATTTTATGTAGAGGTGTCATCGTATCAATACGAATAAACTAGAAGGTGGTGATGTCCTAATTGCGGCATTGCGTGAACTCAGATCATCTGAGTTAAATGTGTCTTTAACTTGTGTAAATTTTTCATTGCATAATCTTATCGAACATGTCATCATCGAAGTTCCTAGTAAGCAATCCTCAAAGCACCATGTCTTTAGTGCTGCTTACATACCCACAACACACCCTCTACCGTATACGAACTTAATTTTGAAACTTTACAAATTGTACTCTGTGATCCTGATGTGAATTGTCTCTATATTTTGGGCGAGTATAATCTTCCAGATGTAACTTGGACACGAGGAACCTCTAATGCCTTACATACTGCGTTAGCTAAATTAGATTGGTCCGAGTTAATGACTTTTACAGACGTAAATTCGGCCGTAAATTTTTTTTACAACAAATTGAAGGAAATTATTAATTTATATGTACCAAATAAAAAGCTTTCTCCAAATCATCGTCAGTATGTCTATCCGAAGTGGTTCACGCCTGAGATCATAGAAAATATTAAAAAAAAATATTTTCATCTTAGGAGATTTAAGCAAGAAGGCAAATTATTTAATAAAGAACTGTTTATCTTTTATCGATGGAGGGTTAAAACCTTAATTGACAACGCATATGAGCAGCACCTTAAGTTGATACAGAAAAGCATAATTGACGATTTGGTATTTTTTTGGAAATATGTTAGTGATAAAAAGAAAGAAAGACGACATACTGAAACGTTTAGTTATAAAGGTGCAGAAGTAACAGGTCAAGATGCGGCTAATGCCTTTGCTGAATATTTTGGCTCAGTATTCCATAATGAAAAGCCCCTATTAAATTATGTAGATGCCGAAAATGCGGCTAACTCACAAAATAACGTGATGCCCATCTCAGTCAGGCAAGTAGACGAAAGTGAATTTTAGATTGGCAATAAGACGCCTAAAACCACGATCTGCTGGTGGCCCTGATCGCATTCCCACTTTTCTGGTCAAGGATTGTGCGCCAGCTCTTCGTTCACCGCTCTTGTTTATTTTTAATCTGTCTCTTAGACAGGCTAAATATCCAGAACAATGGAAACTATCTAGGGTGACACCTGTTCCAAAGGGAGAACCTGGAAAAGATGTTTCTGCTTTTAGACCTATTGCGGTGCTTTCGGTTCTGGCGAAGATATTTGAAACCATGTTGGACTTTCGCATTAGGAATCAGGTAGATAACATTTTGCATGAAAGTCAACATGGGTTTCGAAAGAATTGTGCAACGACTACTAACTTGATAGCGCACGTGGACTATGTCTGTGCTGAGATGGATTCTAGGAGACAGGTAGACGCCGCCTATTTCGATTTTAGGAAGGCTTTTGACCTGGTGAGTAATGACATACTGTTACATAAGCTAGCTAAGTTGGGCTTTACTCCGAAACTTCTTCAACTCTTTGCTAGCTATTTGGATAATCGTCGTCAATTTGTTAGAGTGAGTGGTTTCGAATCCGCTGATTATTTCACTAGATCTGGGGTGAGTCAGGGTAGTACTCTTGGCCCTACGCTGTTTTTAATTTTAATAAATGACTTGCCTACCAAAGTAAAATTTGCGAAGTGTTTGTTATTCGCAGATGATCTAAAATTAAGTTTGGCGATTGGTAGTGTTGCTGATGCACAGGCTCTTCAACGAGACATAGATGCGGTATCGAAATGGAGTCAACTGAACCATCTTCCTCTTAATGTGACTAAATGCAAGGTTATAACTTTTGCATTAAAACAGAATCCTGTCATTATTAATTATAACTTATACGACGCGCCTTTGGTAAGAGTATATGACATACGTGACTTAGGTTTAATATTAGATAGTAAATTGAGTATTCACAATTATATGACATCCATTTGCAAGTTAGCTAGTAAGACTTTGGGTTTTGTGATGAGGACTGCAGCTGACTTTGATGATATAAGGGTGGCTAAAACTTTGTACAATGCGTATGTTCGTAGTAAGCTAGAGTATGCATCTGTGGTCTGGAATCCTTACGAGAAAAAGTATACTCTCTTGTTAGAGAGGATACAACGTAAATTTGCTCGTTGGCTTTATAAGAAAGTTCATGGGTACTACCCTTATTTGTATCCTTCTTTATTCGTCTTGGGTATGGTTGATTTTGAAACCCTAATGTTTAGAAGGGTGATGTCAACTATTAGGCACTATCTTTCTATAATTCACCACAAGTTGGATTGCCAGTCGGTTATGGAGAGAATCGGTTTGTTGGTGCCCAGGTATCTGCATAGAGGTAATGGAGGAACGGTGGCTCCGCGCCGTAGGGCGCGTCTTCTAGATAGACCAGTTACGCGTACCAAATGTGCTGCTTTTGCACCAACAAATCGTGCATTAATACTTATAGGGGACATACTCACTCAGCACGATGAAATTGACCTATTTGCAGACAGTATAACACGTCTGCTGACTCTTTTTTATAAAATCATTGATGATATGACAATTAATAATTCGACAATTTAATTTCGTTGACTATGTACTATTTATACTTTATATTTAAGATGTAATTTTAATTATGGGCATATTAAGATTGTTATAAGTTTTTATTGACATTGCATTATAAATTGACATGACAAAATGTTTAATTATTAATACTTTATGGTTTTAATTGGCTTAATTACCATTTTAATTTCTGACACGGGCTGCCAAAAGCTTCGAGATTTTATATTACTATTATTTTATAATTAATTAATTAATTTATGATTATTAATTTTTGTTGTAATGGATGGATACTATTTCTGAAAAAAATTTTTTGCATGTAAAATTTAACCTTGTGCGCGTGTTGGATTTTCTGTAAGCCACAAGTTTATGAATTAAATAAATAAATAAATGACAGTGGGGTGGGCTCATCCGTTACCAAAAACCTATTATATATTTTAATCTCATTTCTAGATCAGCATCTAGAAATGTGATTAAAATGCTGTACAACTACGTAGTAAATACTAAAAAAAATACTTGATTTATGCATATCAAACCGCTCGTGTAAAGTGTTGTCGCATATCATCCACCCTTTATCTGTGATATAGCTCCCAATGTTGATATTGTTCCAATGAAAAGGTGGACGCTTCAAAGGTAAAATTTAATAAGTCCGACTATACGCACATCAACCACAAAATATATTCCACTAACTGGGATGAAATACTTACTCCCCTGGAATCTGAAGAAGCATTTAGCGCATTTTATGGAATAATTGACAAAATTATCATGCAACACATGCCGTTGATTGGCTCCAGAACCTCTGCTTTTCCAGTCTGGTTTTCGAGATCTCTAATTAGCACATTTATAAAAAATGTAAAGCGTGGGTGAAATGGAAGAAATGTAACAACATATCAAGCTATGAGATGTTTTTCCAGTATAGAACGATATTTAAGTTTATGTGTAATAAATGTTTTTCTAAATATATTGGATCTGTCGAGGATAACATACGCAAAAATAAATCATTCTGATTTGGGGGTATATAATATATCTAATCGTCGTGACAAACCTGGAATACCGGCTAAGGTTGAAAGTAATGATGATATTGCAAGTGATTCATAGTCAAAGTGCAACATGTTTTCTGAATTCTCATCTACCATTTATAGACCGCCCTCACCTATACTATAGCAGTGGAGGCCACCTGCCAGTTCAGCATCCCATGACACCACTAATACTGACCTTCATTTTTGAAGTAGAAAAGGTATTAAGAGAGCTGCAATCCATCTAAGGGGCCAGGCCCTGAAGCTTATCTGCTTATTTTCTAAGAAACACCGCTCTCTCATATGTAAACCTCTAACTATCACCCATAATAAATGCATTACTGAAGGTGTTATACCAACAGTATGGAAACATACTAACATCACATCTGTACACAAGAGCGGATCTAAACGTAGTGTAGATCAATAACACCCGATATCAATTTTGTCTACTTTGTCGAAACTCTTCGAGAGACTTGTGCATAACAAAATATATCTCATACTGCATCATATTATTATACAGCAACAGCATGGTTTGGTTAAACGTCGATGAACAGTCACCAATCTATTATTATTTTCCTGCTACTTATTTCAAATTATTGATAATCGCGTATAAGTCGATGCAGCGTATACAAACTTTCGAAAGGCCTTCGATAAGATGGACCACGATATGTTACTAAATCAAATAGCTTACAATGGCATTCGGGGTAATATGTTATGATGGTTTGTTTCTTATATCATTAACCGTAGTCAAAGGGTTTTAATCAATGGATACCACTTTAACGTTACGATGGTTACCACTGGTGTACCTCTAGGATCTATTCTCGGTCCTCTGTTATTTGTAATGTTATTAATGACATAATTAACTGTTTTTAAAACTCTAAATTTCTATTATAATATGCAGATGTTAAAGTTTGTAAATCTATCCATACTACACAAAACTGCATTCTTCTCCAAGAGGATCTAGACAGACTATTGTTACAAAAGTAAACTTCAGTTAAGTATACCGAAGTGTAAATATCTCAGTATTACTAAAAACAAGAATACTATTAAATTTTCGTACTCTCTGTGTAACGTTCCTTTGGTGAAAGTATATTCTATGAGAGACCTCGGTATACTGTTTGATTCAAAACTGTGCTTAGACTTACATGTTGAACAAATTGTAAACAAAGCATACAAATTATATGGATTTATTATGAGTTCAACTCGCGGCTTCAAACGGACCTCTTCATATCTTTGTTTATATAAAACCCTAGTACGTT